ATTTGTTTGTTGTTGTTACTTTGTCGTGTTGTGTTGTCGTGTTTTGTTGTTGTTGTTGTTGTTGTTGTTGTTGCTTGTCGGCGTCCATCCATATCGCATAATTTTTTTGTAACAGCAGCAGCAGCAGCAAGGATAACACAACACCCTCCCCTCCCCCACGGACCCCGCAGGCGTGCGTGCATCCAGGTCATCCAGGTGGCGCTGCTGCTGCGGCGCTGCGCAAGCGGGGGTCGGCTACGCGGCACGCGGACGGGCGGCGCCGGGGGGTCGTCTCCTTACCGTGGCACGGTTCGATGTCATCTATCGAGTCCTGGCTAATATCACCTTCAAACAGAAGAACGGCAGAAAACACCGGTCACGCTCCGTGCGATCTGCGACCGGGGACAGGGGGCGCCACCGGGGGACAGGAGGCGCCACCGGGGACAGGGGGCGCCACCGGGGGCAAGGGGCGCCACCGGGGACAGGGGGCGCCACCGGAGACAAGAGGCGCCACCGGGGACAGGTGCGCTACGTTTGGTGCGATACACTAGCATGCACTAGAGGGCGCTACGACAGACACGCGAGATGGCGCTGCCACCACCAGGTGTCTCTCATCAGTGGGCGGCCTTTGTGTAGTTATTCAACGTTTTCTTTAGGCACGGGCTTGTGTGGCGATGCGACTTTCTAGGGGATGTGCGGTTTGCTTTAGGCCCGGCGCACACGTGGCGATTTTTATCGCTAGTACTGGCGATTTTCATCGGCACGTGTGCGCCGGGCTTTAGGGTGGGAATTTGTGGCGAAGAAAAATTATGGGGGAAGGTGATTTCTGGAGAAGAACTTTCGTAGAAGAAACGTTTATGAGGGAGGGAAGTTGCGTGTGTTTGGGAGGGGGGAGGCACACATACGGGGAAGCAACAGTAGGGAAGCATTTAGCGAGAAAGAAGGTTACGGGAAGAGAAACCGGGCGTGCGAGGATAGGGGTGAATTCTAGGAGAGGGTACTCGTAGGTGAAACGGATGGGGAGATCCGGGAGAGAGAGAGAGGTGTATTTTGAGGGGATGTGGGTTAGTGTATGGCGGTAAATACTATGTAGACACAATCCTGCTAGTGGATATACTAGTGGTAGCTAGTGCTTGGAGCTGGGCCATCGGCTAATTGCTTGAGGCGTGCACCTAGAGACAAAACGGGAACACATAGCAATTATTCATCAACGACCGCTCGAATAACACCCGGCAGCATCGCGTTGCCACGGCAACGACCCCGCGGAAACGCGTCGCAGAACCGCGGCTCGAATTCCCATCCGATTTCCGTTCCGAAACCCAGCGCGAACAAAAGGCAACAAAAGAGCGTTCGATCGGCCACGCGACCGTGGCGCGCCGCTGACGCGCCTGACCTCTGGCGGGCAATTCCCTCTCCTTTAGAAAATCAACAATGCGTTATCTCGTTAGCATCACGTAATTAGCGTACGATCTAACGGGCGACAGCACGTGCTTTGTGGGGACCAAGAGTTCGTGTTGTTTAACGAGTCGTGTTGCTAATCAACGAGTCGTGTTGTTAAGAGAGTCATGTTGCTAGCGAGTCGTGTTGTTAACGAGTCTGTTGGTTAACGAGTCGTGTTGCTAACGAGTCGTGTTGCTAAACAGAGTCGTGTTGCTAAAACGATCGTGTTGCTAACGGAGTCGTGTTTGCTACGAGTCGTGTTGCTAAAAACAGAGTCGTGTTTGCTAACGAGTCGTGTTGCTAAAACGAGTCGGTTGCTAACGAGTTGTGTTGGCCTAACGAGTCCGTGTTGCTAACGAGTGCGTGCTGTAACGAGTCGTTTGCTAAACGGAGTGGGTTGGCTACGAGTCGTGTTTGTGTTAACGAGTCGTTGCTAATGCGTTTCCCACAGGCTGCGATCACGATGATACCTGAGGCGTGGCAGCGCGACCACCTGATGCCCGAAGCCAAGAAGGATTTCTACAGGTGGAGCAGCATGGCCATGGAGCCGTGGGACGGACCAGGTAGGCATCCGCGCACAGGCAATTAACACCTGTAGTTCACCTGCAGTGAAAAAAATACACGGGGGCTCAGGGCGATTTAGCCCCCGAAATGCCAAAAAGAGCCCGGAAATGGCAAAAAAGACGGGCCCCTGGAAATGCATAGAGTTCAAAGCAAACCAAATTTTAGAGTGCTATTTTCATGCACGCGAGCTTGAAAAGTAGCCCCCCGAAAAATATATTTAAATTTTTTCCCTGTTCACCTGTGTTCTCACCTATACACGCTGACGCGTGCACTCGTGCGTATGAAATCGACACTCACTCTGGCATGATTAAAACGCAGGTGCTAATGTACGGACATACAAAACCAGTTATGTTACAATGCAGACATGCACACAAGCTCACACACAGACACACATGCACCCCATACGCACTGAATGGGAGCACCACATAACACACATAACAGTGAAATGTTTGCATTCTTCGTTCGCTAACAATTTTCACGGCCTTTCCGGATTGACATTGTTTATCGTTGTTCCTGTCCCACTGTGTTCCGCTCATCGTTGGTCATCATTGTTCTGATCCCACGTCGTTCTGCTCGCTGTTGTTCACATTGTTCATTGTTGATCCAATCCTGCTATGTTCCGCTCACCATTGCTAACATTGTTTGACGCTTGTTTCGCACCGCTATGTGTCCGCTCACGCATTGCTGAAATTGTTGACGTTGTTCCGCACCGCGCTATGTTCCGCTCACCATTGCTAACATTGTTTGACGTTGTTCCCACCCGCTATGTTCCGCTCACCATTGCTAACATTGTTTGACGTTGTTCCCACCCGCTACGTTCCGCAAGCCATTGTTCACGTTGTTCGATGCCCGCAGCGTTGATGACGTTCACGGATGGACGCTACATCGGAGCGATCTTGGACAGGAACGGCCTGCGGCCGTCGCGCTTCTATCTCACCCACGACAACTTCATGTACATGGCGAGCGAGGTCGGCGTAGCTGACGTGCCGCCGGAATCCATCCTGCAGAAGGTAGCGCCCCTACATGTAGTGTTAGGGAGAATGAACAAAAGGGATGGAGTGAGGCGAGGGGGCATGAGATGTCTCGCCCGAGGTCCACACTCCGTCGCAGGTGAGGACATGAGACGTGACAGAGAGAGGACGAGAAACTGTGAGAGAGAGAAGAGTGAGAGAGCAGAGAGATGAGAGAGAGAGAGCAAAATGATAGAGAGAGAGAGGTAGAATGAGAGAGAGATCACGCGAAAGTGAGTGATAGATGGATCTAGACAGAGACAGAGGGGGAGAGAGAGGAGAGCCGAGGAGGGAAGAGAGAGAGGAGAGAGGTACGAGAGAGAGAGATGAGACTGAGACGAGATGAGAGAGAGAAGAGAGAGAAGGAGAGAGAAGACGAGAGAGAGAGAGAAGACGACGCGAGAGAGAGAGAAGGGAGAGGGAGAGCAGAGAGAGAGAGAGAGAGAGAGGAGACGCAGACGATTGAGAGAGAGAGAGAGAGAGATGAAAAGGGGAAAAGGAGGAGGAATGGATGAGGAAAGGAAGGGGAGAAGACCTGATGAGCCGTGAGGAAGGTGGGGATGCTAAGAAGAGAATGACGAGGTGGGGAGGAGGAGGAGTACAGGTGTGTTGTTGCCGTGGTTACAGGGGAGGGCTGAAGCCCGGGCACGGAATGCTTGGCGTGGTCGACACGGACCAAGGCCACATCTTCGCGAAGGACGTGAACTGAAGCTTGGAGATTGCTCAGCGACGTCCGTCACGAGTTGGCTCAAGGAGGCGTCAGTAGAACACTAATTGGTTCATTAATTAGTCGAACGTTAATTACTATGAAATTAAGCGATAAAATAATTATGATTTAATGATATTTTCATATATTTTTATTGAATTAATTATATTTAGTGGGCATATTAGCATGGGTTAGTATAGAAGAGTTAGTGGTAGCCCAATTAATGTGCACCTTAATAAGTGTGCTTTAAAGGCCAAATACTAGGCCCATTTCTTATGAAATGTTGCGAACAATGCCTAGAGTAACTGGCCACCTGTCCGTAGTTTAATAATTGTACATACACCTTAACATCCAAAAACGAGTATTAGTTTGTCCAATATCACTGCTGTTTGACTAAGAATGTTCTAATTAAAAGAATCGTCGGTCCAAAAATCAGTTGTTTATACTTTCAAACTGCTGACCGGCGAAGCGGGGTTGTGATACACGATTTATGGGCACCCGACATTTTCGGCACGCATGCTCGCCGCCGTAAACGGCAATGCTATTCATCAGTGATTTGTAAAACATGGACGCTTCGTGATAAAGGAACTTTTTGTCAGGGCTGTCCACGTTGCTGTTCCGCTGATTAGTACGGTGTTTTTACTCCTTTCCATGTTAGTCCCGTGGCGTTCATTATAGCATGCTTCAAAATATTCAATTATACAAAATTTAGATGCCGTTATCAGAGAAAAAAGTTTGATTGCGTAATATCTTTCCATCCTGGTTTTAGGAATGATCCCTGCATCTGTGTGATATCTGATGTGAGCACCTGTGTGACATTACACTCGGTGACACCCTATATGTGTGACACCTGTGTGACACACAACGTCTGTGACACCTGTGTGACTTACACTCTGTGACACCTATATGTGTGAGACCTGTGTGAACATTACACTTGTGAGCACCTTATAATGTGTGACAACCTGTGCTTGACATTATACACTGTGACCCTATATGTGTGAACACCT